AACTCTATAAAAGGGCTGTGGGCTCTAAAATTTAACTCTCTATGTACAAAATTGATTTCTTATGAATCTTATATTTTTTGCCTAACTTCTTCTCAACTCGTGGTCTAAGCTTTTAAATTGTACTAATTATTATAAAAATTAACTCAAAACAAACAAAAAAAATCATACCCCATTTTATCATAATCACAAAAAGTAAAAGATAAATAAATTTCAATTTATTATAATTTACAAATTAAAAAGTGCATAGTCATCCAAAAAAATGAGTAAGAGAGATTGTTGGAGAAAAGGAAAAAAGAAGAAAGTGGCTTATTTTTTTTTATTTTTGAGTTCCATTTATTTGATATGTGAATTATGTATTAAATGAGGGTTAATATAATCTTTTTTGTAATTATTGTGGGAGGTGAATCCTATTTTTAAAAGTTCATGAATGCTTAGTTATATTAGGAGAAGTCGCAAGGAAGTTTCTGATAGTTATCCCCTAAAAAAATGTCAACAATTTAAAATTATTTAGTTCTATGAAATCACAAAGTCCAAAATAGAGTATTGGAAGTAGGCTTGTCAAGTAGACTGATGATTTGGGTTCTGACGAGTCCACACTCGACCCACTCAAGTGGGCTGAGTGGAGTTGTTGTTTTAGTTATAGTTTTAGCCCTAAAACTTACGGCATTTTAGCCCAGGAATTTAATATGTACTTTATTAACTTTGGAAGTATTGTATATAAAGAACTTTATATAAAGTGGGAATGAGCTTGGATTGTTGCTGGTCTTTCGTCCTCCAACTCGTGTGCAAATCACGTGACCATGCAAATCCCATTGCTCTTCTTAATTTGGTTGCTGCCTTTTTACTCCTCCGTCATCATGCACCATCTATTTAAAGAGTGTATATAAACTGGGAAGGGGTTGTCAAAACATGGTCGTCCTCCGTGTGCATTGCACGTGGTTTTGTGTGAGAAATTTTTGTTTTGAGGAATATTCTTTTGTGCATTGGAATCCAAAACAGATTAACTGAAAGGCTCTTCTTTTGTTGTCTTGGAACGAAAAGGGCTTAGCATGCCTATATAAAAAACATAAAAAAACAAGCATGCATCTGCTGCGACTCACTGCCCAATGTGCCAGTCACACTTCCCATCCCATATGTTTCACCTCCCTTCTCTCAGAAACTTTCTCAAAGTCTCTCACGTCTATTCGTTTGCCCGCCAGAATAGAACAGAAAAAAACAGATGACTCCTTTGTCTCACCCATTCCTCCTCATTTCTTTGTTGATGGCCGATTCCTCTCAAACTCTCTCTTCAGTTAACAGGAAATGGGAAAGAAGGATGAAGGGGGAAGATGTTTGATTCTTCTCAGCCATCTGAATCACTTTTTTTCAAATGTAATCATGGTAAACTTTCACTCATTTTGCCTATGTTTAATGTGCTTTTTTCTTTTTCTTTTTTTTTGGTAACATTTTCCTACTTTGTTTTGATTTAGTCTCTCCAAACATAGGAGCAAGAACCTTCGTCCCTCTGCTAAGATGTGGAATAATCTGATATAGGTACCCATCATATCTAGAATTTTTTACCTTCATAAACAATTTCGTTGATAGATATCATTTTTTCGGGTTTTGTTGGAACCTTTTTTCAGAAATATGTGTCCAGTTATTGTTTATTTAAAGTTTGCAATTTAGGTTAGAGAATTTATTAAAAGGTAAGGTTTGTATGCCCTCATTTCTTATTTTATTGCATATTTTTTTTCTTTCTTCTGCTTTCTCCATGGCTTAGAGCATTTCAAACCATTAATGAAAAATTTTAGGAAGTCTAAAAGGAAAGAAGGGAAAAATTAGAAAGTTTCTTCTCACGAGAGTTTTTTTACTGCTTGTAATTTCCAATGGTAAAATTCAAGATGAACAAATAATTTTATTGTTTGACAAGTAAATAAGAAATGAAAAACTTCCGCTAAATTTGTTTTTTCTTTCCATTATGCCCTAATTACTTGCTCTCTTGCAATATGTTTCATGTGTCCTTTTTAACTAATATTTCCTTGGCACGAAGCATCTCAGACCATTATTGACAATTTTCAGATAATTTCTTCTCGCATGAACATCTACTCTGCTCTTAAATATCAATGGTGGAATTCAAGTTTAAAAGGTGATACCTTTACCTTTCAACCAATATTTATTCTTCTGCAAGAATAACAAAGATGCAAATGTCTCGCTGTTGGAGCTCCTGTTTTCTTGGCACTTTTTTTTCCTTTTAGATTTGTTTTTAGTTTTTTTTTTCCAGTGTTGTAGTTGCATGTTTGAAGATTTTGTCACGGATTACTAACATTCCTCAGCAGATGACTGGTAAGTTTTATGGAATTGAAAAGTACTTGTTATATATTTCCTTTTGACCGATGAAGAAAATAGTTAGCTATCTTTCTTTAAATTTGAGAGATTTCTCGCTTTCACGTGGTGCTTTAAGGCTGTAAATTTTGGCTCTTGTGCAATATAGCAGAAAGTTACTCTATTCCCTGAGTTTGTTCTTGAGTATGGTAAATATTTAATTCATTTTAGTTGGCTTTAATTTAGGTGGTTTTACTCCCTAGATTTTTCAAATGATCAGGAACAAATGGTCACTTGTGAAAAGATTATCTAGCAATTTTGAAAGTGGGAAAAGTCATTTGATTCTAAGTATTTTTTTTACTTTGGATTTTCAGTTGATCTGCTTTTGCATTTTTTTTCTTTTTCGTGGTTATCTACCTTGCAGGTTTATATACAACTCTTGACTCACCAAAGGCAATCTGTGAGATGTCTCAAACAATGAGTAGGAGTAGGAATAACATTATCATTTTTGAACAGACTGTAAATTATGTATCATAAACTGGAAATGGATCATATTGCTACATCATTATTATATTTCTCTTTTAATCTAAAAATTTTCATACTTCGTTGCATCCATCCAAAAAATGGCTCTTCCTTTGTTTTTGAAACTTATTTTTACTCAGTTTACATATCTTGGTTTGATTCCTTTTTAGGTGAAAATGTGAGCAGGAGGTGATGGTAATTTTGCTAGAGGCTTCAAGATTTTAATTGATTTACTCGTAAATGCTTCAAATTGAATAGCAAGAGGTATATCTACACTTCCTTCATGGTTTGCCTCAATGTACTTGATTATACAGATATACTATGGGAAATTCTATGTAAAAAAACTCCATAATTAAATAAAATTTTTCTTAACTTGCACCCTTCTGTTTGCCTAAACAAAACATGAAGGAACTTCACTATGCAGTTTATTTTCTCTCTTTTTTTTAGCTTCAACATGCTGATATTTTTTCCTGCCTATAAGTTGACATGTGATTGATCTTTTGGAGGTGATAATCTAATGAAAATAGAGGGATATTTTCTTGAGAATTAGCAATCAGTAGCTTCTTCAAGTTTATCTGTTTCTAAAACCAATCATAACTACTTCTTCATCTCTTCGGTATTTATTATATCAATATTTTTATCTTTCGGGATTTTGATTGGATGTATCCTATTAAAAATATGGAGTTTCATTCTAATCACCACGTTGAGATATGTAACCTATGTCAGGATACATGTCATTTGGGTCAATTTAGGTAGTGATGAACTACCATATATTGGTTTTGATGTCATTTGGGTAGTTTTGCTATGTCACTTCCCCTGCTATACTGGGATTTGAATTTGTTGTGTCCACTGGAGTGTTATGGCTTTCGACCCTACTGTTACAGCAAAAAGGAAATTGTTTATTCAAAAATAGTAAGAAAGGAAAAAGTTAGAGAAATTAACTAGGAATTGGCTTTATTAGTGAAAAATTCTGAGTTTCAGTTAAGGTGATTCTCAATATGTTCTTCCCAGCAACTGCAAAACTTTTTCTACCAACAATGTACTAACCCAGTGGTTCACCTTTTGGTTTTTTGCAGGGGGTGAGGACGCTCTTGCTTGCATGGTGCTAGATAATTATCCCATTTACCAAGCCTTTATTGTCTCCAAAAGAGGTCAGAATCGTTGGAGCTCATAGTAAACTTTCCTAATACGACCTGAGAACCTAAATTGTATTCCACCTTGTTTCTTTAGCAAATGCTCTCTCTTCCTCTCTCTCTCTCTCTATATATATATATATATATCAGACACAAACACTACACCCTATTTTTTTTTTTATTTCCTTGTATAGTTTCCTTTTTTCTGTTTTTAAATAGACTAATAGGTCATCTACATTGTTTTCTTAACACCATCAAATGTTCATACATGTTAGAGATGCTACCTCGATTTTGTTGACTTGATATATGACGAATCAAGAAGCCAATTATATTTTAAGAAATGCCATGCACCTGCTCAGATTAGAAGTTGGAGTGGATTTACTGAAAAATGTTGGTTCACATTTTGGTTGTTGATTATTACAGAAATTGACTACTTTCACATTGGTTAAGATCGTAAGGATAACTTGAGACGTGGTGAAGACGAGGATGATGACGATGTAGCTATTCAAGAAAAGGTAAGGCAGCGGGATGATTGGAAAAAAGATAACCTGCATAGTGTTGGCAATCAGAAGCTCAACTCTTATAGAGTATCATTTTTATGTAGACGATAATTCTTGTAATGTTAGTCTTGTATTTTAAAGATAAATAGATAAGTTTTAACTTCAATGGCAGTAAAAGTCTATTTGTCCATTTCTTAGCTTTTATCATACATTTGTTTTACTAAATAATAACTCAAACTAAATAATAACTCAAATACGACAAACTAAAATTTCTTTCCTGTGAATATTAAAATTGACCTGTGTCCAGCTATTATTCAGTTGTGGATTAATCCTTTTAAATATCCTATAACAAAAAATGTTATTCTTATTTATGACTTAGTTTTTGTTAAAAGATTAACACACTTAAAACAATATTATGCAATTTTTTTCATATATAATATTCATCATTATTAGCCAAAATTGGGTTGGGCATAATTACGAATTTTCACCATGCGCAAGCATGGTGAACATCTGCTAGCAGATACATAGCGTGACAAAGCCACTTCAAATAATTGCAACGATTCTAGCAGTCTTGTGTGTCCGAGACTTCCAAATTGTTCCTCAGCTCTCTTACTGGATGACACCAATTATGCTTTTCAGATGCATTGATCCTATAATTTGTTCTAGCCATGTTTTTAAGAATTCGCTATTCCTTCAGTCAATGGCTGAAACCATTGCACAGTTGCTCATATGGCACCTTTCTAAGAACCTTAACCACAACTAACTCTCCCGCCACCCCAACATTTGACGCCAAATTTGAAAATGTTAGCCAACTGGAAAAGGCAATTTCTCTCTTTTACGATCTCAGCTTCCCACCTAATTTCTCACTGCCATATGCTAGGCTTTTCCAAGCATGCGCTCGCCACAATAGACTCGACTTAGGCCAAGATCTCCACCACCATTTGCTCACCCATGAAACCACCGAGGATATTGACTTGTACACTACCAACCACCTGATTAATATGTCTGCCAAGTGTGGTGATTTGTGTACTGCCTACCAGATGTTCGAAAAAATGCCTCACAAGAATATTTTCTCTTGGACTTCTTTAATTTCTGGTTATTCTCAACATGGAAAAGTTGATGAATGTTTTAGTATGTTTACCGATATGTTAGCTCACTGTAGGCCCAATGATTTTGCTTACACCAGCGTACTGTCGATATGTGATGGTTTTAAGGGTAGGCAAGTGCATGGAGTTGTTGTAAAAACAGGATTTGGTGCATATGTCTATGCAGCGAATGCTTTGATTACCATGTACTGGAAGAGCAGAGAGACGGGATTTTGCAGAATTTACAGCAATAGTGAGGAGGCTTGGAGGGTATTTGACGGGATGGAGTTCCGCAATCTTGTAACTTGGAACTCAATGATTGCTGGATTCCAAATGCTGGGACAGTGTTCAAATGCTGTTAATTTTTTCATCACAATGTGTAGAGACGGTGTTGGGTTTGATCGTGCTACGCTTGTAAGTGTCCTTTCTGCATTTTCTGAAAATAGTGAATACGAATATGTTTCAAGCCTCAAGTCTTGTTTTCAAATACATGGTATTGTTATAAAGGCCGGGTTTAAGTTGGATGTTGCAGTGGTGACTGTACTACTGAGTGCTTATTCGATTCTTGGAGGAGAGGTTGCTGATTGTCATAAGTTGTTTATAGAGACTAATGGGTGCCGAGATGTTGTCTTATGGACTGGTATTATCACTGCTTTTGCTGATAGAAAACCTGGGGAAGCCCTTTTACTTTTTAATTTGTTGCGCACAGAGGGGTTGAATCCTGATTGTTATGCCTTTTCGATTGTATTAAAGGCTTGTGGAGGATTTTCTAATGACAAGCATGCCCTGGCCGTGTACTGTTTAATAACTAAAGTTGGTTTCACAAATAACGTAGTTCTTCAGAATGCTTCAATTCATGCATTTGCAAGGTGTGGCTCACTTAGCCAAGCTGCGGTCATCTTTGATGAAATGAGAATAAGGGATGTAGTTTCTTGGAACTCAATAATAAAAGCTTTTGCTTTACATGGGCAAGGGAAGCAGGCATTGGACTTGTTCAAACAAATGGATGTTGAACCTGATGCAACCACCTTTGTTGCTCTTCTCTCCGCTTGTAGTCATTCGGGAATGGTGCATGAAGGGGTTGAAATATTTGATACCATGTCCAACAGCTATGGGGTTGTTCCCCAACTTGATCACTATGCCTGCATGGTTGACATTCTTGGGCAAGCTGGGCATCTCGTTCAGGCTGTGAAGCTCGTAAGGGAAATGCCCATGCAACCGGATTATGTTGTCTGGAGTGCTTTGGTAGGAGCCTGCCGGAAACACGGTGAAACACAGTTAGCCAACTTTGCTGTATCAAAACTAAGGGAGTTGGATCCAGAAAATTCTCTAGGATATGTAGTAATGTCAAACATACACTGTTCCACTGGTAGTTTTGATGTAGCTAGTCTAATAAGGAAGCGAATGAAAGCACTTGGGGTACAGAAGGAGCCTGGCTTGAGCTGGACTGATATTGGTAATCAAGTTCATGAATTTGTTTCAGGGGGTGGAGCACACCCACAAAGAGAGACAATCCGCACTAATACGAAAGAACTAGTTGGAAAATTGAAGACACTTGGCTATGTTCCTCAAACTAGTTTGGCCTTGCACGATATTGAAGAAGAGCACAAAGAGGAAGAATTATACTACCACAGTGAGAAGTTGGCTCTGGTGTTTACTTTGATGAGCACTTCTGATTTGAATTGCAAGTTGGATGCTGTTAGGATCATGAAGAATATTCGTATTTGTCCAGACTGTCATAATTTTATGAAATTAGCATCACAATTAATTCAAAGGGAGATTGTTGTGAGAGATTCAAACCGTTTCCACAATTTTATGAAGGGGTTTTGCTCTTGTAATGATTACTGGTAATCCGCAGCTTACATGGTCAGACATTTTTCCTGTTGCAGACAACTTTATTTGCAAAGTTGCGGCTCTCTGACTAGTCGGGACCCAGATGCCAATATGTCCTTAGGTAACTAGTCTCAGTAGTTTCATTGTCACTTAACAGACTGTGAAGAAGCATCAACAAAAGAGGTCTTGATCAAGTTAAGCCCTACAACATGCAGAAACTTATAATCATGGAACTATCTTGAAGCATATAAGTTGTTTGTTTTGTCTTCCTGACAATACAGATGCTTTTCAAGTACTCTGTTCTGATCCTCAATGACCGATGTTGTTAAATGTAGCTTCCATTAGGCTCATTTTGGTTTGGATTTTTGAATAAGAAATGGTAAAATTATAAAGATTGTTGGATTGACTTCTTGAGACAATGGAAAAGCTACTGTTCCAATCCTCAATGACCCACATCTACCTGTTTTTGGTTTGCATTTTTCAGCTGAAGAAAGGTGATGTTCTTTAGCTTGTTAGATTGATTTCTGGAGACAATGGAAGTATAGAGCAAAGACTAGTCAGTATTAAAGGATGACTGCAATATTCTTGTGGAGTAAAGATGAGGAATCATTCTATGGGTCCTAAATCTGCTGACTTTCTACAGGTGCATTTTGGAAGTTTTATTTATCTGGATAAGTTGATAAAAAGTAAAAGGAAATCAGTGCACAAGGATTTGGAATTTGGAGGCTGCTCTGTAATTACATTGGGCATTGGGGAATCTCCAAACTTACCCAACTGAAGATAATAGAGAAGAGGTAAACCATGACATGGAAACCGGCTTTGTATCAGAAACATATAAACGAGTTAAATAATTCTAGCTCTATGCAGCGTTGCTATAACTGATTATTTTAACTATTTGCCTTACAGTTTAGGGTGTATCTGCCAGTTCAATCATCATGTACGTTTTTTAATTGCCTATGACATATGAGAAGTACTATTGGTCTGTATTCCATTATCTGGGCTGCAAGTGTTACTAGCTAATATTGCCAAGTCAGCAGATTGATATGCTCAAACCAGACTAGCTGTTCTCCTCTTGCAGGCTATTCCATGCATCTATTGATGCCATTCAGCACTAGTCCCTTCTTGTCCTGCAACTTCCCTTTTAGTCAGCATTAGTAAAAGCATTAACTTCTGGAGGCTTTCTATTTCTCATGGTAATTGTAGTTTTTCTTTCAGCAGATAATTACTTAGTCAGTTCAACCCAGTTGATGAACATGTTCATTGTTATGCTGCATCAATGATATTTAACGGTTAAAATGTATTCACTAAAAAGCAAGGGTCTGCTTCAACAAAGGCTGTCTCTAACATGAGGATCAAGTCAGGTAACTTCTAATCCTTCTAAATTTTTGTTCTGAACTTTCGCTGCTCTTGCTTATTATAAGTTGCTTTTTCTGCAAATTGTTATAACACGCTGTCCAACTGAATGTCCAAATATTTCACATCATAAGATGATTTTATTTGGAACAGTTTCCATTGAGTCTCCATGTTTAAATTTTCACTACTAATCTTTTGACAGAATTCCTAAAGTCCTTTCCAATGTGATTTTGAATTCATCTCAGTATGAGCTTCTCATTGTTGTCTTTTCAATAGTTTCCATGTATCATGTAAGTACAGTTTTATGCTCATTAAGAAGGTACAGCAATTTCTTTTCTTTTTTATCCATTTCAGTATTCTTCAGTATCCTTTATCTCTATTAACCATTGATGGGAGTATTAGGTTTTTTAACTCTAGATTATATCAATTTGCTTTAGATGTTTCACAACACCAAAAAGCTCTCATGATTTTCTCTGGTGTTCATTTTCTTGGGTTTTGGATGAGGGCCTTCTTGGTGTCTTGTGGTTCTTGGATTTTTCTTTGGTTGGATCTGGGTTAAACAGTATAAGAGCGCATAGTAAATTCAGTCATCTTCTGTGCAATTTTACATTGTCATTTGTCCATTCTGGTAAGACAATACTGCACAGAACTCACTTCTGTTTTACTTTCTAAAAGCTGCATTGGCCTCCCAAAAACAGTCAATGAAATAGGTTTGGCTGACTCAAGCAACCATGTGGTGAATGAACGCTATGCATCTGTCTTCTTGAATTATTGACATGATCAACATAGTTAGCCTGCAATCCTGAACTTTTGCATGTAGAAACTCAATAAACAGAAAGGGAAAGGTTTCAAAATGGAATTCAAACAAGACAAGGTCATAGCCCTCACTCTCAGACTTTATGAGAAGCAAACGTTATTTGTTTCTGTAAAACTAGCTAAAGCTTTGTGATCCAAGGTACTTCTAGAGATCTTGAATTTGTGCATACATTTGTGATGCCATCTGCGTTGTTTTTATTTACTATATTGACAGGTTATAAAGGAGAATATGGTGTCAAAAGAGTGAAATGGATCCCTAAGTTGGGTACTATGGGAGTATGAGTATGTTTCTTTTCCTTTTTCCCCCCTTTTGTGATGCTTTTGTGAATTGCATTATAATCAGAATTAGTTGGGTACTATGGGAGTATGAGTATGTTTCTTTTCCTTTTTCCCCCCTTTTGTGATGCTTTTGTGAATTGCATTATAATCAGAATTATGTTCTCTTTTCTCCTAGATGTGGTGATTGGATGTTCCATTTGAAACTTGGCCATTTTGTTGTGTATTTTTTATGGTGAATTGGGTGAATAACTTCTGTTGAGTTTTTTTATTTTATGAGTGACTTACTTTGGGATGACATATTGCGGAAATTTGTTAAGAGGGCAGTAGGTCGGCTTGACAAACATTGATGTTCTCCTCTTCTCTATTTTTTCCCCTATTTATACCATCATGAAAAATAAGTTTACAATGGTGGCTAACAATATCAGGACTGCTAAAAAAGTACGTTTACTAAGTGATATTAAAAATTGATTTTGAAGTTAACTGTTATTTGTTTTCTTTTTGATGTTTAACTTGGGAAACAGTTATTTTCACTTGGGCAGCGAATTGTACTTTCCTTTTTCTTTTCTGAGTTCTTAAAAGGAAATAAAAAATAGAGAAACCTGATCTGCTCCAAAACAACCAACATCTTGTCAGGCTTTCAAGTAACTAACAGACGTACGAGTCAAAGACGTCTGCCTTTGGTTGAACTTTGTAGTTTTTGGTTCTCTTGAATCCTTGTTGAATTACACCGATGATGTTTTAGCATGTGTTTCCTCTATTTTAATTGACTTTTAATCCATTCAACCCAAAAAGTAAATAAGAAGAAAGATGTACAGCTTCAAAGGAAGAAGAGTTTGTTATGTTGGGGATTATACTTAGGTACTTCAAACAGTTGATTTTCAGGTTTTTGATGTTGATCTTGTATTTCTATCGCTTAAGATTAAGGAACAACTTTCTTGGTGCCTGGGAAAATGCTTGCAAATTTTTTGCTTGGATACTACTTGTCCATAGTGTAGAACCCAAAAAATTCTAACAAAAAACTATAAGAGATATATTTGATTAAACTGTTCTGTATAGGGAGACAATTTACACACCTCTGAGTATGTGCGGGAGAAAGAGGAATAAATATCAACAATATATTATTAATCACACATAATAACGAGGGTCTCACATTTCACTCTTTTTAACTGATACAACAAGAAGATTCCCTATTTATAAACTAAAGTGATTTGGTCTTATAACCATAAGAAATTTTTTAATAAAATATTAATTTCTAAGCAATAAAACTCCTGTAATTTGACTCAAATAAAATTACTAAAACCATATCCTGAATAAAATACTGCTAAATAATAATATAGAAATTTCTATTTTTGAGCCTTGATTTAATATGCCAACAATGAGTCCCTTAAAGCAAGCTTTCCAATGAATCAAGTTCACCACCATCACTATCAATAATCTCCCTTGCAAATTTGCTAACATCAATTTGAATTTTTCATTTTTAAAAGTTTTTGCTGCTGCAATATTTGACACATCTGGACAAAGTAAACTTGTCGCTCAATTTGTTTTTCACTTGCTAAAATAATCCATTCACCACTATCACTATCAATAATCTCCCTTGTAAATTTTTCTAACATTAATTTGAATTCTTCATCATCTTGTCGCTCAATTTGTTTTTCACTTGCTAAAATAATCTGTTCACTGCCATCACCATCAATGATCACCCTTGCAAATTTTGCTAACATTAATTTGAATTCTTCATTTTTAAAAGTTTTTGCTGCTACAATATTCCACACATCTGGACAAAGTTATCTTGTTGCTCAATTTGCTTTTCACTTGCTAAAATAATCCATGTTTGTAGATAAATGGCTCTCGTCGCAAAATTTGATATCAATTTATTAACAACTCATTTCGTGATTTTAATAATCACAATTCAACTGACAGAATTCTTCTCTGATCTTTGTCTTAATAATCACAATCAATTAGACAATTTCTGAACCAATCTTATGATCTAATCTTCACCAATTGGATACTCCATGATCAACCTTATTGTTTAACTTGATCAAATAAGTTTTTCATAGCAATTCTTATGCCCTAACTCTGACCGTTGAAAATACTCAGGACCAACTTTATGGTCGGAATAATTCTTCAATGTTCATAGGCTCATCAAGATCAATTTCTTGAATATAGGGTTCTGATACTAGATGTAGAACTCAAAAAATTTCACCAAAAAACTATAGGAGATATATTAAATAAAACTAATATATATAGGGCAGCAATTTTACACACATACAACTATATGTGGATGAAAGAGGAATAAATTTCAGCAATATATCATTAATCACACATAATAACAAGCCTCTCGATTGATAAAATAATAAGATTTCCTATTTATAAACTAAGTGACTTGGTAAACAAGTCTTATAACCATAAAAAATTTCCTAATAAAATACCTAATTCGTAAACAATAAAACTATTATAACTTGACTCAAATAAAATTGCTAAAACTGCAACTTGACTAAAACATTGCTAAATAATAATATAAAAATTTGCCTTGATTTAATATGCCAGGTCTCTATTGGGTTGATGGATTATAAACATGTGCTGATTAAGTGTGCAGCTGAGGCAGACTTCAATATAATTTGGACGAGAGGTATTTGGCAACTGGAAAAATTTCCAATGCGAGTATTTCATTGGACTAGGGAGTTTCATGTGCATAAGGAATCTTCTTTGGTTCTGGTTTGGGTGTCTCTATCTACTCTGCCAATTCACTATTTTGATAAGCATTCGTTGTTCTCTATTCTATCTCTAGTTGGAAGGCCCTTATTCTTGGATACAGCAACGGCTACTGGCACACGTCCTAATGTGGCCAGGGTGTGTGTGGAGGTTGATGTAGCGAGGCCAGTCATTTCGAGAGTATGGGTGGCTATCAAAGGGGAGACAGGATTCTGGCAAAGAATTGTGACAGAGGATATGCTGTCATATTGCTCCTCTTGCTGGCGTTTGGGTCATTCAGCCGAGGAGTGTAAGAAAAATTCTTCTGAGATTGCGTCTCGGAACCAGAACAATCAACACCTGAGGATGCAGCGTGACCAAAAGATTGAGGGGAGTAACAATCAGGTGTATGTCCCTGTGAGCAATCTAGTTGTTAATGGGGCCAAGGAAGACCAATTTTTTACAGGCTGCTCCTTCGTCGAATGCGTCACCGGTTGGTCCTGATGCTTCCAGAAAAGGCAAAGAAATTGAAGTGGAGGGGAAGCAGCCTGCTGGGTCTATTGTGCTAGTGGATGGAGGTGATAGAACTAAGCGGCAGGAGCTTGTTTCAGGGAGTCATGCTGGCGACAAATCTGGTGCTGCGGTGGGTGGTGGTACTGAAGATATTGCTTCTATTGGTCATGGGAATCAGGATACATGTGACGGGGTGGAGGGAACATTGGAGGGGGATCAAGGAGAAATTGTTGCAAAGCTGGTTTCTAAAAGAGAACATGAAGGTGAGGTGCGTCAGGTCCTTGAGAAGCAATCCTTGGGCGCTAGACAGCAGCCTTTAGTCGCGGGGCAGATTGTTTCTTTAAATAGCAGTGGGTTGGAGAGTTCGGGTGCAAAGTTGAATGGGGAGGAGTTTGGGTTAGACGGGGTATATAAGGAAGTTGAAGTTGAGCTACCTATCGTCGCAGGAAATTTATCTCCAAGGATGGCTGTTAGACGAGAAGTTGCTGGAGTCGCTGGTGTTGGCTTTGAACATTGATCAATCTGTTGCGGTTGATCAAGGTTCAAGCAAGCGAGAAGAAAAGGCGTGCGAGCTCGATTTCCCTCTGACAGACAGCTTCGAACTGTGACATCTTCCCATAACTCCTTCCAGGTTTTATCTCATGATTAATGGCATTTTTTGGAATATTAGAGGGGTGCTAAAACCCCTAATCTAAGAAGATTGATTAAATTAGTAAGGTTGTATCATGTTAAATTCATTGTGATAAGTGACCCCAAGCTAGATGTGTCTAAAATTGAGTCGATTCGGTTATGATTATTGTTTGATTTGGTGGGTGTTTATAGTTCTGGTGATATATGGGTGTTCTATAGTAGTATTTTTATATGTTCGATTGTCGGTAATTCGGACTAGCATATTTCTTTATTTGTTCAATATCCATTGATGCCTGGTTCAATCATTATGTCATTTGTTCATGCAAAATGTTAAATGGAGGAGCAAAGAGACTTATGGCAAAACTTATTAGCTGATAAGCCTAGCTCCCTGCTATGGTGCATTGGGGGTGATCTTAATGTCATAATGGCGCCTAATGAAAAAGGAGGGGGGGGGGGGTCGTCCGTTTTCTATAGCTGAGGGGTGGAGTTTATGTCCTTTATGGAAGAGATTGAGGTTTTTGATGTAGGTATTTCGGGAGTTAGTTTCACGTGGTTTAACAATCGGAGAGGCAAAGTTAAAATTTCGAAGAGATTGGACGGGTTGTTAATAAATGGGGAATGTTCGGATTTTTGCGCATCCATTTCTGTAGTTCATTTGGCGAGACATCTGTCGGATCATGCGTCATTGAAGATTTCGTTTGCATCTCGGTTAGATAATAAGCTAAGACCATTTCTATTCTTGGATGTTTGGACGACAAAACCAGAACTTTTGGAGGTGATTAGAAGTGCCTAGAGTCGAGAAGCGAGTGGATCTCCTTCGCATGTTTTGTATTCTAAATTATTGGTGATGAGGAGGGCTATTCAGGACTGGAACAAGCAATGTTTTGGAAATGTATTTGATTGTGTTCGAAGGGTAGAGTCTGCGGTTGTAGATACCAAAATTTCATTTATTTAATTCAATTTTAGCTTTATTTTTTTTATTTATTTCAATTTTAGCTTTATTTGTTATTTAATTCAATTTTAGCTTTATTTGTTATTTAATTCAATTTTAGCTTTATTTTTTTTACTTTTGTTTTATTTTATTTTATTTTATTGATTAAATGATAGTGTTTATTTTTTCTTATTTTTATAAATTAGGTTCATCATTTTTATTTTTAAGATATTTTTGCATTAAATTTCTGAAAAGGAAATTTCTCACAAAAATTCAAAAAAATTGTTTTTAATCCTCTTAGATTCAATTTCTTTCAAATAAATGAAAATTTTGCAATGCAATTTCAATTAGGAATTAACTTTTTTTGTTTACCTATTTTTTAAAAAAAATTAAAAAAATTATATTAAATTAAAAATAAAGGAAAATATGTGAATAGGTGAACAAGTGTGTTAAAGGAATATTAGACAAGTGTCTTGGGTTTTAGCACAACACATGTAAAGGGGGTCGGTGGCAAGACAAGTGTTGAGCCTAGAAAAATTTGAAGAAAAAAACAAACAAAAGAAAATGGAAAAGAAGAGAGCTGGCGGTGTGAAGGAAAAAGGGGGAAAAGAAAAAAAAAAGCAAGAAAGGGGCGACGGGCAAGAAAAACTGGGGAGAGTTCTTCGGGGGAAAAATGAGAGAGAGAGCAAGAGAGGTAGGAGCAGCGGATGAAGAGAAAACAGAAGGGCTGAGGGAGAAAAAGAAAGCAAGGAAAAAGAGAGAGCCGAGAGGGGGAAGAGCTTTCGGGCAAGAAGGAAAAGGGAAAAGGAAAATCGAGAGGAGAAAGGGTAGAGGTTGAAGGAAACAAGAAAAGGGGTGGTAGAGAATCTGGAAAAAGCAAGGAAAAGTGGCAAAAGCTGGGCGGAGGAATTGCGGTTCGCTGTCAGCTCCGGAACTTCCCACCATCACCGGGAACCTTCACCCAGAGAGAGTACTGTAAGCTATCCCTTTCCTTCAAATTTCATGTTCTCTTCAAACTCAGACTCTTAAGGCTCTCAAAAAAGGAATTGGTTATTACGATTTTCCTGATGATTATCCACAGTTTCGAATATACATGTTTTATGTGTTGATTGGACTGAAATCCCTTGTGTTTCTGACAATTTTGGGGCTAGTTATAACTTCGGTTAAGCAAAGAATCGGTGAATTTTCTTTTGCCCATCTGTTGTTCGATAGAATGCTTAACTAAGAGTTCTATTTGAAAGACGACTTGTCTGCGTTTTGCGTGAGAAGAAAACGAATAGTCAGCAATGCCAAGACATAATAGCTGATAGTCATGGTAGAAAGCAGAGTTTTGAGAGGCTTTGACGTGCTTGTTCTTTGCACCTTTTCTATTTTTACCTTTTTCTTATTCTTCCCTTTGTATGAACTCGAATTGATGTTATGACATTGTATGAGAGGGAGTTTGTGTGAGTTTCATTGTCTGTTGGGAATGGCTAGAGTTGAAATCGAATTTTTGGTATTTCTCTGTCTGCGAAGAAAGCTGAAATGGTAACTGATGTTAGCTCGTTTGAAAAAGATGATTATTTGTCTAGATACATCATTTCAGTCCCTCCATTTTCCCTTTCTTTGTGATTTAACCCCAGAAATTTTAGAACTTCATAATTTGACCCTAAAACTTCTATAATTCTTTCAATTAGGTCCTTATTTTTATTGCATTTTTAACCTCTCAAGTTTCCCTTTATTCTATTATGACCCGAAATTTGAAAAAACATAATCAATTTTGTCACTTCAAAATCTTAATTGCTTTTGGCATGTTTTAATATGATTTTTGAGTAGATTTTTTGTAAATTTTAGGATGAATTTTAAAGGTTTAACAATTTTTGATAAATTTATAGTTTTTGATTTGGATTTTTGTAAAAATGGCTTAGATTTGGGTGATGCTTTGTTTTGGGATGAGAGGATTTTGATTTATTTTGCGAACTTTAGCATTTAGTTTTGGTAGGCTTCATCTTAAGTCCTTAATTTTATTTTATTTTAATTTTGACCCTTAATATTTGTCATAATAATGATTTGACCCCTCAAACTTCTTTAATTCTTTCAATTGGATCCTTGTTTGTTTTAATTTGTTGAATATGGGTTGTTTATTTTTATTTGAATGATTTGATTGATTCAATTTTGTGTTTATTTTCATTTATTGTGATTATTTGTTAATTAAAGTGATGCCTTGACCTTTTTCTTTGTTTTGGAGGGTAAATAAAAAAAATTTCATTTCATTAGGTCACCAATTCAAGGGAGGTATTATCTACTCTTTATTTTGATTCTACTTGATCCTATGTGTCCCTATGTGACTTTATGTGCGTAATTGCATGCCTTTTGAATGTTTTATTTCATTTATTTATTTAGTCACTTTAAGTGTTTTGATTTAGTATATTTATTTTAATTTAATGTTTGATTATTTAAGAGGCATTTAAAATGCCAAATTGTAATAGTTAAAGGGGTTCAAGACATGTATTTAGATAGAATATGTAATAGTTAGATATTTATTTTATTCCTTCCCCCTTAGATTATAGTTAGGGCCCCAAATGTAATAGTTAGGTTTTTATTTGCTTTATTTGCTTTGTTTGTTTTGCATGCTTATGTGTTTACATGTTACTCGCTTTCTTAGAGTCTTGCATCTAGATATCATGCTTATGTGCTATGTGTTTTATGTGATATTATGTGTTTACTTGCTTTATTATGTTTTACATGATTTATTTAATTGCAATAAATGCATGACGTCACCAAACTAGTCCAACGCTAGTTGTGGTCCTTTTTTCCGATTCCACACTAGTCCAACACTAGTGGTGACCCTCCTTTCTAATTTTTCATTAGTTCATCGGTAGTGAGAACTTATAGATATAGGCTAGTCCAACGCTAGACCCTTAGGCATCATCCACGCTTTAGATCATATTTGTGTGACAATCACTACATTTTTATGTATATTTTCTACTTTTTAGGATTTTTTCATTTGGCATGACAATTTCTCTTATATGTATATCCCTTATACCATATTCTCCCTATATGTGTATTCCTTATCTCGTATTCCTCATATATATATATATATATATATATATATATATCTCTTATCTCATATTTTTCCTATATGTGCATTCCTTTCCTCTATGTGTGATATGTGACATATAAACTTGCATTACACTTAAAAAAATTAAAATTAGGTTAGATTATTTGCTTGATTAGATAGGTGAACTATCTTTTAAATATGGGATATGGATAAGTATGGCTTCTTAATCTTAGCATGTTCGTATTCCCTCTATAAAAGAGAAAATTGACTCACGAATTTTAGTCCTCCACACTCGTTATGATGCATTCCTTTAGGTCATGTATATTTGTATAATTATTATTTTCTTTTTTTTTCTTCGAGTCCCATATTTTTGTATATTCGTGACCTCTTCAAAAAGTCACTCTTGGACATTACAAATAATGTGATGTGCACCAACTAAGTTTTGAAGAGATATTCCGATCCCTCTGATATCCTCCTAAGTTTAGGTTTTGCATCCATATAGTGACATTCAAATGTGATAAATTCTTAGGTTAAAATAAGAAAATTTTTTACTAAATCATGCAACTAGCCTTGGTTAGGTTGAAAGGATGCCTTAAATTTTATCCTTGCATTCCCTTTCTTCAAATGTGACTTCCGACCTCTTTTTTCTTATTGTCAAAGATTTGGAGTTATTTAAAAAGGGGTTTCTCTATTTTTTTTGTTTAAAATTCATTTTTAAGTGATTTAGTATACCTTAACTCAATACCAAGTGGCGATTCCTATTTTTAATTAAAAATCTTTTTTTAACTATTATTTTGGGTCAAAATCGTCGCACTTTTTAGTCCCATTTAGGCCTATTTTCTTTATTTATTTCTAAACATCAAAAAACTAATTTTTCACTCAACAAAATAAATCAAAAATTCATTTTTTATAAACTTGTGATCGTAAATTTTATTAAAAATGGGGTGCGACAGTGGTTTAAAGGGTAGAGGAGGCTGTGGAGCATGATGATTTGGAGGAAGTTCAAGTTGAGCTCAAGAAGGCTCAAGCGAAGTGTCATGCATTGCCCATTGAAGAACAATTTTGGAGTCCAAAGCCTCGAGTAAAATGGCTTCGAAGTGGAGATCGTAATTCCAAGTTTTTTCATGCGATAGTGAGACAAAGGAGGGTTCAAGGAATGATACATAAAATAAAAAATTTCAATGATGTTTGGGTGCTCAGACCTTTTTTCGGGACCTTTGGAGTCTGTTTCAGATACGTTGTACCTTATTCCTCCTATGATTTTGAGGGAGGATA